GCGGTTACTCCTTATGTGTGAGCAGCATTGGGCGTGTTGGTATCGTTTGGCAGGGCAGGAGAGGAGGCGTTCCACACGGGATCTGGTCCTGTGGTTACTGAGATCAGGTGAGTCCCTCTGGTTTGCACTGACATGTCAAACAGAAGTTACTCAGAAGCTGCTCAACAGGTAACATCCAAACCTTGCTTGGCTTTGTTCCTCTTCCCAGCTGCTTAATTCTCTTGAACTTCCTGATCATCTTCTGGATCCTGCTCTCCCTCATCACTTTTGACTCTCACATCCTCCCACATGGCTGTTTTACTGCATTTTAAGGCTGGCTCAGCCACTTGGGTTTTGTTTTCTGTAGCAAGAGGTGGGCAGAGAAGGAAAGCATTAAGAGATGAAGTGTTATAGCCCAGTAATAACCTAATAAATCCTGTTTTGTGAATGAAATTACTTCAAATGGAGGTTTCCTGAATTGCATCAGTCCAACTGTAAGATACTGCAGAAACCACTCTGTACGCTGTTCTGTTTTAAAATGGCTCCCTCCCAGTTACCCTCTACTCCAAGACAGATAATCCTAGAAAACATAGATTGCACAAAGTTTCCAGGTCCCTTGCCCAGCACCACTTACTGTGCAGCTCTCATGCCAACAATCAGCACAAACCCACAAGTTTTTTAAATCTTTCCGCAACAAAGCGTGCTTGAGAGAAGACACATTTAGGTATCTGCTCTGATGAGAACTTGGCTCCATGGTTCAAGCTGAGTCTCTTTCATTAGTGTGGACAAGTGGGAAGATTGCACTGCAGAGAGACCATGAGGTTTGCTGCCTGGAAAAAGGAAAATATGTTGAGAGGTTGAGTCAGGCTGGAATAAATGAGATACTCCTCTCCTCAACATGGATATTAATGAACTAAATCAGTGGCTTTTGAACAATGGTTTGTTGGTGAATGTCCCTGTTCCTCCAGGCTAGAGCTTGGCATGGTCTATGGGGAGGTGAGAAGGAGAAAGCTGAAATAAAGAGATTGATCATGGTCTTCTCGGTGTGTTTGGAGCACGCTGATGAGAAGTGAAGCACATCTTGGGAATGCTGAAGCTATGGGGCCAAGAGGCAGGGCCAGTCACAGCAGGACTCATGCAGGTATTAGGTTGAGTGGAGCAGCACAATGCAGATTTTGGCCAGGAAGACGGTGAGAATCCCTGCCTCAGTTGTTAAAACCTGAAAAACCCGGGTTTGGCTTAGATACTCAGCACTTGCTGCTATCTCCCTGCTGGGAAGCGGGAGCTGTGCTCTGCTTTGGAAAGGGCTTAGAGAGGGGGGAAGGGTCAGCTGGGCCTGCTGCCCATGTAGAAGATTTTAAATATTAAAGCAGGGAAGTGCAATTGAAAGTCTGCTTCTGCTCTGGAAGTGGAGTTGGGAGTAAGGCAGGAGGAAATGTTGTGCATTAATATGTCTCCAGGTCTGTTCCCTGCTTGAATGATTAATCAGCCATGCAGCAGAAAGGCTGTCATGTGAAAGCTACATCAGTACCATTAAATTCCAGTATTTGGATGGTATTATACTACTGAAGAAAAAGAGGGGGCATAAGGAACAGTTAGTGTTGGATCCAGTTAATCTTTTGGCATAGACAGATCTTCTACCATTGTGTACAGTTCTGTCTCCTTGATGTGACTTAGGCTCTTCATTTGCGAAGTCGCTCACTGCACCTTGTGCCTGCTTCCCCACTCTGAATGCATGGCTATTTCCCTCCTCCACAGGACTGTGGTGTAACTAGGTATTTCTAAAGTGCTTTGAGATCTTATGCAAAAAACTGTTACTGCAGCAACTGCAGGTACTACTTACAGATTTCCTATCGGCCCTGAAATCTTGCTGATATCCTGGGGGCTGGGGAAGGTCTTTACCCTGGAAGGACGGGGCATGTGTGTGCTTGCCCAGGACTGCCTCCAGCCAAAGGAAGAGACCGAGCCCTCCTCCTCCTCCTCCTCCTCACCTTTCTGCCCAGATTTTACCTTGAGCACTCCCACTTCATGCGACCTATTTAAAAAAAAAATGAAAACAAATAGTTATTTTGCATTAATTCCTTTATAGCTAGGGGGATGTGCTGAGCGGTCATAGGGACCATGGTTAACCAGCCTGGCCAGCGCCTGCCTGCCGTGTGCGTGTCTGTCTGTCTGCCTTCCTTTGGGGACCGTGAGGAGTCAGTCCCCACTGCTCTCTGAGCAGTAGGTGGTCAAATTGCATCTCTACTGCATGATGGACACAGTGATTTATGAGCTACAGCTTGCAGCACTGGCTCCCTTCGCAAGCGCTGCTGGAGGTGGCAGGAGGCGTGGGGTGAAGTTTGGACCCAGCTTTTCCCAGAGCAGCCGGGAGCGGGGCCAGCCCTCACCAGTGAGCAGCTCACATTGGCGGTGCAGTCGCATTGCAGGCACCTCCAGTCATAAGGAACTGCCAGGTTGGTATTAGAAGATGGGTTTTGCTAAGACAGGCTGTGATCAAGAGGTGGTTTCAGGTTTAAAGCTATACAAGTAAGCCCAAGCGACAAATGTGGGGATTTTTGTGGGTTGGTATGAAATGCCGGGACATGCAGGGCGGAGATCTTAATTTTAGGCAAAGGTTTTCTTTGCAGCCGTACCAAGTATTACTCACCTGTCTGCTCTACTGTGTGAGTCGGCTCAAAGAGCTGCCGTCATGAGACTGAACTGGAAACTGGTGTTTCAGCACCCTCCTCGCTCAAGGGCCGTCACTGTGTTGCTGAGGGAGGCCACAACGGGATGTGAAGAGACCCACGTAACGGCGAGCAGGAGCGGGGGACCTGTACCTGCCGGCGGGGGCTGCTGGATCTCACGCCTCAGGGTGCAAACGGACCGGGATCCATCTCTGCTGCATCCTCCCAGCTGCCCGCCTGCCATTTCCTACACATTTCCTACACTCTCCGGATACTGGAGCAAAAGGTATCAGCTTGGACTCCATTTGCGA